GGTGGTGGGTTTTTTGGGATGTGGGTTTTTTGGGGGTTTGTTTTGTTTCGTAAAATGATATGCAAGCTATAGTCCTGCGCAGGTTAGGTAGTCTTCAACTGTCTTGGTGGTTTTGTCTGATCTAAATGAGTCATAAGTTTTTATTAAGAATCCTTATATGCTAACTTTTGTTCTGTGCCAGCCCAGCCACTGAATAAATCCTCTCACTGGCATTTGTCTAGATGAGGGAGGAAGAAGCTTCTGTGATAACATTGAAGAGGCTGGTGGTATGGATTTTCTGCTTGGTTGAGAGAGCAGTTATGGTTTAGCTGGTGTGCTCTCTGGTTTCAAGCAGAAATAATTGAGATTGTCCAGGTACAATGGCAAATAAAGTTTGTGTCTTTCAAGGGTGCTGGACAGATAAAATAAGTATTATGAGACCTCAGTGCAATTCCTATAGAACACTTGACCGCTTATTTGTCAGCGGTCAGGGGGAAGTCTTAGCTGTTTTTATTGCAGCTGACCACGTCTTCTCCTTTCTCCACAAATGCATTAAAAACTGAAGTAGCTTTCTATTTCTTTGCAAGCTGATACATTATTCCCACTTGGGGGAGGGGGAGAAATCTCTTTACTCTGGTCTGTCATTTGGAAAGCGTTTTGGTGTTCTTAAAATAGGAAGGTTTTTGTATTTCTAAGGAGCTCATGGAAAGACTTTTTCCCTTTTCAGAATTCTCCAAGAAAAGCCTAACACTTAAAAGTCTTAATGCTTTTCTGGCTTTGAGATTAAACTTGAGCTATTTCTGTCTTGCTGGAAGAGCAGCTTTGCAGAGCCTTTCCTCTATATCTAATGCAGGCACCTGTGGGAGAGTTTTTGCATATTGTTAGCGGTCATTTCATATTATTTTTACCTGTCATCCATTATTGAAGTGGGCACTGCCATAGAAATGTTGATGCCTACAGGTTTTTGCTTTGTTCCTGCAGAAACTCATTGCTAACAGGCCCTGTTGTTTTTTGGTTGGGGTTTTTTTGTGTTTTTTTGTTTGTTGGTTTGGGTTTGTTTGTTTGTTTTGCGGTGTGTGTGATTTGGGGGGGGGGATTGTTTGGGGGGGTTGGGTTTTTTGGGGTTCTTCAGGTTTTTTTTTTAATTAGTTCTAGGTTCTAGTCATTTGATTTGACATTGTGATTGTGTTTCAGGTTTTGAACCACTTGACAGTAAGACAGCTCTGTCTGGTTTTTTTTTTTAAGTTCCAAGCAGCTAGTTCTCGATAACTTAACTTAGTAGCTATGCTAATTAGCTCTTAGTTGTAGTTCAACAGGTTTTTCCTTTTTTTATTTGCTTTAAAGAAAATTGCAGAAAGGAGCAGACAACATAGCAGTAGATACATCTTCTAGGAATCTGGGTTTCTCTGAACACACATACTGTTCATCAAGAGGTTGAATCTGTAACTTCATTTGCACATTTCCCATTGGGGACAGTCTCCCCTTCTGGGCCTGTCGATCTGTACAAGGAAATTCTGTCTTGCCATTCCTAAAGTGTACTGTTTATTATTATTATTTTGCTATGTACTTATTTATTTTACCCCTCCTCTAATGGCCACATACTCATTCTGGGAAGGAGCAAGTAAACATATGTGTGAGCTTTGTCCACACCTGTAATGTGGTTGCTGAACCACTGAGGAGCAAGACTTGCTATGCGAGTGTATTTTGAACCTTCTAGGCTGTGATCAATGGTTGGAGATCCTGTATATGGCTATAACATGGTAATTCAGCTTAGTTTACTGCAGTATAGAACCTTTGCGATAAAGTCAGAAGTTCCACTAATGCAAACAGGATGTACGCTGCACCAGACAGCACAGGTACTTTTGGATAGGATTTTGTAGAACGGCTGATTAACTCCACTGACAGGATGCTTAGGTTATGAGAATTTATAGTCTGTTGCAGTTAATGTGGTGATACATGCTTTTAGGCAAGGCTCATACAGTGAAGGAATATTTGGATATCAAATAACTGCTCCTGTCTCTTCTGGGTTTTTTCTTCCTTGAATTTTTTCCTTTTAGTTTTCTAGCACAGTAGGTTGCTGCTCCCCTCTCAAGATTTTACAGCACAGCTTATATTCAGAGACCATTAAAGAGCATTATAATGTTGCTGAAGAGCAAATGGGGAAATTATGGAAGTGGTACTTGTAGATGATCAAATTTACTTTTAAGGTTTTTTTTTTTTAATCTTTGCTTCTGCTACCCCATGACATTGCGTGCTAATGGTGACACGTGAGTGCTTCCTTCCAGATTCAGAGTTGAAAATCTTCTTAGCAGCAGACAATCGACAAACGTCTCTGAGTAAATCATAGTACTGTAAATGCATGCTGTGGAAGTTGTCTTGCCTGTCAACACATTAGCACAAATGAAAGTTTGTTCAGTTGCATTGTCTTCTCCAGCCATGGAGATTTGCAGTTCTCTTGCTAGCAAACAAAAGCTTCATTCCATACAAATGAAAAGCTGATTGACTTCTAGAAATGGACACAAACTTTCTTTCTTCTCCCAGGTGGATCCATTTCACACCTTATTTGGAATTGCTGGACTATCTTTATTAGGAGAAGAACAAATTAAGGCCGTCAATCCTGTCTTTTGTATGCCAGAAGATGTCCTTCGAAGAATAAATGTACAGCCTGAGCTTGTGAGCTAAGCCTCGTAGAGACAAAAGGTTGATATGCCCAGTTGCTTTGGTTTTACTGGTTTAAGTCATCTCATCTCTGAAACTGTTAGCATATTCTTCTTTGAGATGTGTTTACATTATGAAAGTAAAGCAGTAGCTTTACTGTGGGCTTTGTCACTTTGTAAACTGTATCAGAACAGGCTGGTTCTAATCATCTGAGTGAAACGTGTTCTTTGGTTGTATATAAGAGATGGAGAAACATTTCTAATCTGTATCTAAATAATATGGACCTTTGCTTTTTTTTTTGGATATTCAAGTCAAAGCAATAGTGTGAATCCTTAATTTCTGTATTCCTGTGATATCAACCATGCTAGCATTTGTCTTACACAAGCATGTTCTGATGATGGATCACACAAAGCACTTTAAAAGAATATGAAAAAAAAACCCCAACAAACAAAATCCTACTTAAGCCATGCACTTAATGCGACACATTTGTGTATTTAATTCTTCCTGTTCATGTTTGCCATCACTTTTATATACTGCGAAACAAGTTTTTTCTTCTGATAGTAATTGATACCAGTGAAAACAAAAATTATGGTTCCATTAAGTATATAAATGTCTTCATTTATTTTTGAGTCCCTTAGACAAAATTTCGCTGATATTTGAAATAGAGCATACCTTGAGTATGTATAGTGAAACTTGCTAACGTTAAGCGCTCTAGAGAAGGTCTCTATAGGACAGTGACTTGTGACTGAATACAGAGTTGATCCTAAATTTGTTGCTGGGTTGAAATCCTCCTTTCATAGCTTTTAAGACAATAATTGCCAACACTTGATTATGGTGTAATTGAGAATAAAACTAGCTGTGGAAAACACTTGTTCTCTGAAGGATGAAGCCGTCTTTGTCTTCACAGAAACCTTAAAATTGCCTCTTAATTTACATTCCACATACCCTGGCTGAGACTGAATCATATTCCAGTTGAAATATACAGTAAAAGGTAACCATGAAGGGGAGGAAGTCTTTGATAATCTCTGTACTTATGCTTAAGGAAGGTCTAAAATTGTTTCAAACACAGTTTTAAAAGCCAGCTGGTTAGTTTTATCCAGCCTATTCGTGTTAGTAGAGAGTAAGATAGAACTGGACAAAGTAACTTTTTGGTAGACCTTTACTTGTAGAGAATTTCAAAGAGAGAATGTGTATTTGAATGCTCAAATATTCCTAATGAATTTTTTAAGCCTTCTCTACAGGCTTTCAGATAAAAAAAAAAGTAGGGTAAAAACCCTATTCTTTTTAGCTGTCCAGTTGCCTGATGAATTCTTTGGTCAAAGCCTGGAATTAATTTATTTTTCAAGGTTTGGAAAAAAGTTACAGTAGGCTTTGTGTTGAGTGCAAGGGAATGAGAGCACTGATCAGGTTTTATCTAACTGTAAAGTTTATTTTAAAATTTTCTGTTAAATTTTTCTCATTCCAGGTTATCTTTGCAAGTGCCACTTCTTTTCATCTAAGGAAACACTGTTCAGTACATAGGAAACTGTCATTTTTTCCATGTTGTGTAGACAAAATAGAATCCTCTTCAGAATTTCTGGTCTAGTGTAGACTGAGACACCCTGGGAATTAGTATGTGGGTGGTACTGCATGACAGTGGAGAACATTTCACTCTAGGTTGAAACCATATTAATATTATTGGAGTTTTTCTCTGAAGAAGGTCTGGTCAACTTTATTTCCGAAGTCTGCTGTGATTTGTAAAGATCTTGTAAGATTCTAGGTTAAAAAAGGAGTATGTGCACAAATTAAAAACTTCTTAAGAATATTCTTCCATTCTTTACATCAGTTTTTTAAAATACTGTATTTGTAGAAAGTCATCACAATTTTTCTTATGCAGACAAAATCACATTTTCTGTTAAATGTACTGTGAAAAAAATCAGTTGCACAGTGTGTCTATGTCAAGACTTATCTCATTTTGGTGCAGAATACATTGTTACCATCTACCTCTATTTTGTTAATAGTACTGATAATGTTTTTTTCTGAGCTTATGTAGTTAGAAACTTTGCAGTAATTAATCTACTGTTCTCAGTCTTCAGTTATAGGTCCTTTATTAAAGGCTTTCAGAGATTTGTACTTTGATAACTTTTTTTCCCCATGGAAATCTTTATATGGAAAGATCCTGACATTATCTTAGTACTTGATCTTAAGTACTGTAGTGTAGCTCACATTCCCAGCAATAAATTTGGCAAGATGCTGTATGAGAATTTGTGAAAGAATAATGAATAATTCAGGTACACAGAATTGTGTGTCTGTAGATTTGTATATTAAAAGAAAATTGGGGGGAGGGGGAGGAATCAACAGCCATTCTATTACCTTCTAAGAACATGGTCAAGTCCAGAGGTATGTGCTTTATTCCAAAAATGCTTCCTTTCAGTTTTGTTGAGACGGCTTGGTGAGGGCAAATTCAACCTTATGATTTGTGGCCATAAAGGAAGGTGGAAGATGGACATTCCTTTTGTTTCTGCTTCTCTTGCCATACACTTGGATTTCTGTCAGAGAAGAGGAGAAGGTCTAACACCAGCTTCAGGAGTCTGAATGCATATGGAAAGTTCAAGGTAGGACTTGAAATTCAGGACAGTGGCGGTAACTGGAATTGGCACCTGCTGTCTTCCATCCTCTGCTCTGCAGTGAAACTGAACTCTGATACTCGAATTTTTAAAGCTGCCTGAGTGATGATGCTCAGTGCTGAGAGACCACATGCCTGTTCTGAACTAGGAGGCTGGGGGCGATGCCTTTCAGATGTCAGCTGAGGAGCTGCAACTGATAGAATTTCTATTGCGAAGCTGAATAGCCATCAAAGTACAACTGTCCACAAAGAGTTGTGGCCTAGTAAAGGCTGGCTTCAGGTTGGAGGGTTTTTTAATGCAGATGTATTAAGTTCCAAAGTGTTGACTAGTCAAAATGTTAATTGAAACAGTTTTAGTGGGGTATATTACATGCTAATATACAAAGCAGTGTTACAGTGTTCTAAAATGTGCATAGAAGCACATTAAGACAATTCTAGATGTAAACAAGCTTTATGGTTTTTATTGGGATCTTTTGGTATCCAAACTCTGGAGCAGGGGGAAAACATCTGTGAAGCTCCTGCTAAAAGCGTCTCTGAATGTTGAAGAACGGATGTGGAACAAATTATGTTTAAGTGCTTTACTCCTGTTTTAAAGAGCATAGCAGACCATTTCTTTGCGTTCCTGCGTCACCATTTTATTGTCTGTAACTGCATATTTATAATGAAACTTGTTGCGTGCCCAGCAACTGTATTTACTATTGCATCATTCATAGCCGTACGCGTAGCTGCAGCTTTACCATTATTTTTTTCCTTGACCGACAGAACCCCATCTCGGCACGGGGTGGGAGGGGTGGAGATGCGGCCCTCTGCCGCCGTCTCGGCACGGGGCGGGAG